GCCCCAGAATCGGCCCTGATCTTGACACATGGAAATTGATAACCAGTAGGGTAACTATGAATATTCTAGGATTAATGCTACCTTTTGCATGATTACGTGTATGAAAATAGGATTAGCAAAAAATAATGGATATGGTTTGAAAGCAAACTCTTTAAATGCTATTTAAAAAATATATAAGGTACAGAGTGAGTCGCGATAGCTGCAAGCACTTTTGCTTTGATTTGATTGCTCCGGGAGATGGTGTGTATTTATTTCACGTGAAAATCGAGTTTCACTAACAATTAAAAAATGGTTCAGATGATTATGTAAGGAACAACCTCTCGAGATAAAGTCCCAATGATGGATGTTTTATTGATGAAGAATACAATATGGACGAAGCGAAATGCCTCCAAGGAACCCAACCACACGAATTCTAGAAGAAAGTAATTGAAGGTATAAGAAAATTAATGAAATGACATAATTATCTGTTTGAGAGTCGTTTTGATCTTTTTTTCACTTGTAAATTCTTCTTTCTCATTTATACTCTTTTGACAGTTTCTCTTGTAAAATCGTTTGAAAACTTCTGAAAACTGTCCATCATCCTGTAACTACCCACTTTCTCTATCATGGATGACTTCTCAAGAAACTACCGTTTTCAACTGCTGTCATTACTCCCATCATTTAACTCCTTACAACCGAGATTCTTGGATCATGGAATGTGATAAGATTACTCATTAACTGCTTCAATAATCGTTGCTCCGAATAGTAACCAAAACACTATATTCGCCCAGATTTTGGATGTCACATAGGTTTGAGCGATGATAGACTCGCCCAGATCTTAGGCGTCTCACAGGCTTGAGCGAGGAACATAACTCCGTTTTGGATTTTTATATGGTCCTGTTTGGGTTTATCCTTCAATTTCCTAAATGGGATTTATTCTTTGGATCATTTAATTGGGCCTTAATTTTTGTATGTCAACAATTACCCCTCAATATAACATAATTGACGTTCCACATGATGTGATGTGATGTGATACCCTAACAACGAAAATGACTAAATAAGGATTATAATGATGTCTATAAATTAAAAGGTTAATCGCATTCATTATTATTATTTTAACATTTTATGATGTGACATAATGATAAATTTAGGTGCTACATAGCAAATATATTAAAGAATTTTTGCGGTATGATTATCAATTAAGCAAGTTTCATTAATCCAGGAGACGGCATGTGATAGAATTGTGAAATTCGAAATTAAATTTAAAGTTCAGTGATACAATTGAAACTAAAATGAAATTTAGTGACCTATTTGTGACAAATTAAAGTTTGGTAACCCGATTGAAATTTCAGAAAATGTTCATTGACCATAGATGAAATTTACCATAGACAAATTACAAAATTTATATAAAAGTATAATGTCTTATTTCTACAAAATGACTATCACCGTTTAAACATTTTTAGCCATAACGAAGTGAATTGAACAGGGCAATTGTGTATAAGTACTTAGTGGATCGTATTTGGTAAGTTGGTGGATTATAGTTGGCCAAAATGCTGTTGACAGTGATTTATCATATGTTTGGCTCGTGTTTATAAGCTGTTTATAAACAATCAACTTTTTATCCACATATTTCGATGGGATCCACAAATTTTACACATTTATTCATCGTTCGTTTTTATCTATCTGTAATTTGCTGTAATTTGAATGATTTATAAATATTTCCGAAACAAGCTTTTAGCATCTCTTTGCTCTTGTAAGAACATGGGATCCATCAAATTCTTGATGTTAGATTATCGTTGAGGATTGTTGATACCAATGGTGATTAGAGGATTACAAGTTGCGCGAGATTGCCTATGGCTTATAACTTACTCTCATAGTCTAGGGTCCATGAGATTCCCGTCATGACTAGGGATACATTGTACTTCACGTGATGGCAGAGTTTCTATAGTGTGCCGTGTAGGTAGCCCAAGGTAAATGATCCTCAAGGCTGAGTCCCATAATTTCATATTTTATCTAGGGTGCACGACAAAATTTATTAGTTGTTTAGTCTTACGCATTGTTATCATATAAAAAATGAATATTGCACAAAAAGTCGAACTTTTGGTACCTCGAGGCTCGAAGTGAAAGTTGTGTTTAGATATGTCCAATACGCGAATTCGTCTAAAATCTGCCTAAGTGAGCCAGGCGAGGTCAACTCAACCCGCTTTATATCCCTACCTCAACTCACCCCCAACCTAGGAGCACAAGGTCGTGATTTTCATGGGGGGAGCGTGTCGCCCTAGACTATATTCCTTGCTTAAGTTTAACAATTAATCCAAGTAGGAAAAAGGCTCCTTCAATAGTCCCCAGTAAACAAACAAGAAAAAAGATGTTTAACCTGCATTTGCAGTGTCCACAACTCAAATAAACTTGGTAAAATGTTAAAACTGACATTTGAGAAAATGTTAATGAAATTTAATCTACTGAATAAGCAAAAGATGTGCAGCAAGTCCAGAGTTTGATCTAGACAAGAAGCGCGCATCAAATGAATGTTGCCTGTTTCTTATATGATCAAATGCTTCCATCTCATTCTCTGCCTAAAATCTTTTCATGGATGTGAATGATTCAGACCTCTGATGCCTTCTTGCACTGGAAAATGCCTTGTGATAATTTGTTCTGTATACGTCTCCTACAACTTCGACAGCCTTGTGATTCTTGCAACCCAAAAGAATGCTTGGACGCTGCTTTGTCGTATCTTTTCCCCGTCTGGTTTTTGCATTTAGGGCCATTCTCCAGGAATCATATGGTGTGTCCGTGGTGGTTCTTTGCTCTTCCGAAACTGACAGCACCGAAAAATCAGTCGTGCAGTGTTATGGATTAAACTCTAATCCCTACTCATGAGAACAATAGATGAATTCGAAAACAAGCAAAACCAACACAAGATTTATAGTTGTACAACCACTTACTGCGAAGATCGATTTGCGAAAAAGTAGGCTCCACAGAATCCAACATGGAGGCCGTGACAACACTCCAATCTATGCTAGCTTCACTTGGTGCATAACAACATGTTGGGGTGATGCAGCTGGACATGCCATCTGATTCTGGCCTGGTAAGAAAGGGGTAGTTGGAACTGTGTGACAGGCTTTCTATTTCAAATAAATCTGAACTTGAATCACTCTCAATGTCACTATGCATGACATTAGAACTTGCTGAGATTTCAATCTCTTTCATTCTTGGAGGGATTGCATCCCAATTCGACAAGGAATTCTTCCCACTTTCCAGTATTGGGAAGGTAAAAAGTTCCAGAGATTTTCTCTTTGTTTTATCCTCTTCCTCTTGCAGCTTCGTCTTAACTGGTTGATTTCGAGTCTCGGGATTAAAAACCGGGAAGCTGAAATGATCATCAATCTTCAATCCAACACCCACTTCATCAAATCCCTTGCAGTGCCAATCCTTCTTGAACCATGAACTTGATTGGGACTTGTCAACAAGTATATCGCGGGTTTCGACTGCTTGTTTCTCTTTGTAAGTAACCAATCCAGTGTTCATATTCTTGTTGGAAAAGTTATCACTCACATAATCTTGAATTTCGACAGAATTCTTGTCACTACAAGAGAAATTACAACCAATTCTAGTAAAGAATCTCTTTCCATGAACCTTGATTGCCTTTTGGGGCTGCTGATTTCTTGAACTACGATGCAGTAACGCACTCCGGCTGTTCCAAGTTGATTCAGATCGAATACTTGGTGTTGCCATTCTTACATCGAGAGGATAGTTCTTTTGTTTGCAATTCGGGACATACTTGGTGATTTTCTGACTAGAATTCGTTCCTTCATCCAAGTATTTCTCGGCACCAAAGACATCAATTTCTGTGTCTTCTGTGTCCTTTCTTCCTAGGTTAACATACTCATTTGTGATAGACGCGGACGACCCGAGTGGACTCCGATTTTCCTCTGCCAGCTTAAGTACACAGGCTTCTTCATCTACATTCAAGTAAGAGGAAAAGGAAACATCCCTGAAGGTGTTTCTGTTTGCAGAAGGCAAGTTAAGAGAAATATTTGTGCTGACCATAGCCATGGATATTTTTATACTTGATAAAAATTGTTGTAATAACCATACAAAAAGGAAAAGAGAAAATGACCAGACTTAGGAACTAGAGAAGCCTCGAATTCAGCAGGAAGTTCTAAATTTTGCATACAGAAAAGTTAGAAACTAGGCTACGTCTGGTGTAGGCTGCCGAGAAGAATAGAAAAAAAATAGCTAGTAGGTCAAAATATCAATAGCTTACTCTCTGACTCGAGTAACATGAGACGGAGAATTAACAAGAGATCATAGGCAACTTGGCTCAATGAAAATCACTCCTAGGCTTAAAAGGGATATGCAATATGTCGAGAAGAATTCAAAAATGTTATGTTGTAGCTTTTGGACTTGAAAGGAATCCTTGTTTCCTCCTCTCATTTTCTTCTTTTTTTGGACTTGAAATAATTGATGAATAAGAGCTTTTTTTATTTTGGGACTTGATGGACCTTTCCACTTATTGCTTTCACATTTTATGTGAATGTTTTTTCAACCTTTCAATTTTGTAGTTCTTGGATTCCATCTTGACCCTATTTGGGCATTTCACCTATAAAAAGTCACGCGTAGTATGCATGAACACTGAGGGACAATATGGGTAAAATAACTGGCAAGTGATGTGATCGAAAGTTTCGATTTTCTAGCAAATTTACTAAAATGCCCTTTTTAATGTTTTGAATATATATATAAGACAGAGATAATTAATGCCTTGCCATTGATGTTGTTCTGTCCCACATTAACACAAAACAAAACAAATGACAGGGGGGCATTTTTGTCATCTTCTGCATTTGGTAATTTGGTGAAGACTATTGGCCACACAATATGTATAAAATCTAATGGATAAAAATACAGCGGCCTTGGACTGTATTAAAAGCATGTTTTAACCTGTAATGCCAATAATGTGACGCAGTTATATGAACAACTAGAATTTATCTCAGAATTCTTCATTTCAAATTCATATGAGAACAAAAATTTAACCGACTTGGTCGGATTGGTAAAGGTCGGGACTTTAGCATGTAGCCTGTATAGTATCCACAGACGAGTTCTATTCTCAAGTACGATCAAACCGAAATGAGTAAATCCCAACTGATCCTACGTTTATGATCTGCTATTAGAACAAAATGTTTCTAATACAAATGGCAACCAGTTTTGCTCATAGAACCATAAAAAAAACAACTTTGCTTTATAAAGGTGATTTCGTCGAACAAAAAGACCCCCCAAAACTAGAGCCATCAAAATGACAAATGCAAATGATCATATAAAATATGACATGCTCTTTTTCCTTAATTGGAGTGTGTATGTGTGGTATCTTGTAGCTCTGTCAAGCCTGGGAAAATCTCTATTACAGTTGAGAGAAATTAGATAAATATAAATGTTACAAACTATTGCCTCAAGATTTTCACATGGTGTAACATATTAAAATTCATGAAACTTGTGCAAGAATCAAAGAATTGCCGGTGCAATCATGCCATCTATCAGAGTCCAACCTAGATAATTATTGGCTTTCATTGCGTTGAAGTGGAGTTGCCAACCCAATACTGCTTAACTGCAACCCGTATTATCTCGGGAACAAGGGACATCTATCAGAGTCCAACCTTGATAATTCTTGGCTTTCATTGCGTTGAAGTGGAGTTGCCCACCCAATACTGCTTAACTGCAACCCGTATTTTCTCGGGAACAAGGGGACCGTCCTCGTGATCCATCAATTTGGTGTCCCATCTCATACCTCCTATGATTTTCTTCACCTTGTCGAGCACATCAACTTCATCCTGAAATATAACTGCACCCTCAGGCCGCAAAATCTGGTCTCTAAAAGAACCTCTTCAAAATCACAACTGCATTAATTTGATAAAGTAATGGTTGACTAGTCTACTACATTTCTTTTTTACACAGAGCAAAAGAAAAAATATTGACATTTAGCATTGATACTTTTGTTGTCATTAGTCTTATATTTTTGATTTACTAAATTCTAGCTTAAGTTGTATTTTACAAGCTAAAGTAAGGTAAAGTGCTGCAGTGATATAGCAGCTCTCAAATGTGTCAAGTGGTAGTAGGTAAGAATAGTGGTTGGTTAGACACTTTTGTGATGTAAAAGGATGATGGCTTCGGTTTTTTACTCATTGTTATATGAATGAAAATTGATATTTCTCCATCCCTTTAAGTCCATATACCAACAGTGGCAGGGACGGACCCAGCCCGCCATCCCAGCCCGGGCGAAAATTGACTGGTCAACGCCGATCGGTCAACGTCGACGGTCAGCCATCGTAAGAGCGAAGTCATTTATTAATATTTAATTAAATAATATTAAATCGCACTAAAACG